TGTATAACAATTATATATGATTTTCCAACAACTATTTCTGATTTTTGAGTGAATAATTAACTTTACTAGCACTAAGGCAAAGCCTATATTCTGTTACACAGAATCTGAATAATAAATTACCAGGGATGGTCACTTAGCCAGGATACATTAGTTGAAGGTTTAATGGCATTTGCCTTAGAAACCACCAAAGTCTTTGTGGGGATCCAATGTTTCACCCAATGAAAGTTGTCCAGTGGCCAGTAATGTGGGCTTGTTGGCATGCATTGGCAGTTCCTCCAGTTTGCACATAGCTTGGTCAGCATTTCAAGCACAATATCAAGCATCTGATGGCTTGTAGCTTTGTTTCCTAAACAAAAGTATGAAAAAAACAGAAGGCCTGTATCTAAATAGTGCACCAAGAAAAATATTGTCGGAATAAGACAAGCTCCCTCTATGAGCCTGTGACACAGGATATGTCATTATGCAGTGCCATCTGTGTCTTGGTCCACCACAACCTTTGCATATCATCATGACATCTCCAGTTGTTGGGTTAACAGCTGACTGGGCCATTGTTCTTCACTTGAATGGAAATGTTTACATATCATCGAGGCCATAACTGTACTCTTGTGCAAGCATATTTTGGGTTATTACTAATTTTGGTGTTAAAGTGTTGGAGAAGAACAGAATTTTTATGTGGTTTGGTGTCTCAAAACAGGTAATTTTACCCTTTTCTAATTGGAAATACATTTTTCAGTTTCATACTACTATATGGTACAAGTTAAACTTTGCTTGTAATGAAAAGAATTGGTATATATTTACATAGTGGCCCCAGTAAGATAGGGAATATGTAATAACACTTCATAAAGAGTGGGAATGAAACTACACTCACTTATTCATGAAATAATGTCAGAAATGAAGAAAATGGGTCGTGGCAAATGCCAGGAGAATCTTACGGCCAATTTGTTAAAAGTGTGCAAAGCCTGACCCAATGAATATTCATATATACGAATATGCATATGCTCATATAAATGAAAATCTTTTAGTCAAGACATACCTGTAGTTAAATGTATATCAATCAGGTAGATAGACATATGTATCATATACATGTCTGTATATATATATATATTCATTGGGTTGCTCCTCGCACAATTTTAACAAACCGGTCATTAGTATATGGTGATTGGGTGCGGATCTGGAGGCAAGCCCACAGGTTATGTAGGATTTTGGTTTATACATCAGTGTTTGTGAATTCCCTGTAGTGCCCCCAAGGTTATTGGCTGGAGTAATGAGACTTAGTTTCAGAGGGGTGCAGTCACTTCGTAATCCATTAGCTAATAATATATTCTATTATTTCTAGAACTAGTCATTTATGATAAAAAAAAAAAAAATACATTCGTGCTGATTACACTGTTAACAAAAAATAATAATTGCAAGGTTGGGTGGCTGCGTGAAAAAGAAAATGCTGAAGATATGATACTTGTAGGTGAAAAATTAGAATGAACACTAAGTGATACAAAGATAAAAAATTCCCAGAGTTGCCATGGTAAAAAAAAAATTCCATATCCAACCAGTGCTAGTTTTTTTTCCAATGTGGCAGATTGTGAAAAAAATTCTTCTTTACATTTTGGTGCAAATAAAGGCCCCAAAGCAGCTTTCTCAGAAAATTCTGTTTAGCAATGCCTTCAGCACTCAGGCAAAGGCCAACAAATCTTTGCCATCTGGCAAGATAGAGTTTGTAGTCTTCCCCAGGCATTCACTCTCAAATGAAAAAAAAACAGTCCAAGTTTTATCTTGACAAAATATAGGGTATGTGAAGGGAGTTTTATGCTCCCTGGAGGCTGCATTGATTTTGATGCTGTTCTGCTCTTTGGTTAGATTTTCTGTCACATATCGCAGCATACTTCAGATCTTGTTACGATAGAACACAGTCATTATAAGTGTGGAAAAGATCCTGTTTTATAAGCTGCTGCATGTTTCTTAATTTGTTTTTAGTTATATGAAGGATATACTTTGTTCTTTGGTTTCCTGCTCAGTAATACATTTCATCAATAATAAAAATGTTCAAGAGATCTTTTTTTTCTGTTTCTGTTTTTGTAACTTATAAACTTGAAAGTAGTCTGTATTATCTACTTAGCCATTAACCCATTTGCGCCGGGTAAAAATGAACAAAAAATGGGGAAAATGCTGTGCTCATTTTTTATATTTTTTAATGAAATGTCTCTACACTAGATGGCTCTGCCTTACCTGATTTCACCTTTACTTGAATTGGCGGGAAAATGTATTTTTACTAGTGCTATGAATATCGATGGTTATTTTTATTATAATCATTATAATTACTATAATGTTATTAACATTAGTAACAGCAAAATAAAATAACGTAAGATATTTTCGTAAATTAAAGAAAAGGGTAAACAGGCAAGAGAGGCAGTACAAGTACAAGTGTAGCCATCTATGTGTGAAAACAATTAAACAAGTAAACTCACAGTGGGCCCGTCACGTATACGTGACACCTGGCATGAATGGGTTAAACCCATTCTTTATGTCTGACATGGTGGTTTGGCTCAGAGAAAAGAGTGTAGGTGAGGGAGAGAAGGAGGTAAGGAATCAAAGGAGGTGGGGCAGGTTGAGGAGGAGGAGAAGGAGGAGGAGAAGGAGAAGGACGGGTGTGGGAGGGGAATTTAAGGAAGATTTGGGATTGAGACAGGGTGACAGCGCAAGAAAGGGAAAGGTAAAAGAAGAGGGAAAGGAAAAGGGAGAGAGGAGGAGGGTGAAAGAGGGAAAGGGGAAGGGAAAAGCTCCTCGTATTTTAATTTTTTCTGTGGAATTTTCAAACAAATTCCATTAACAACACAGTTTTGCTTATTAGTATTTTTATTATTTTGATAAAGTACCATTTGTTGACAAAATGTATTTTGCATTGTGTATCTTTGCTTATAGAATATGTATTTAACTCCTTGGATCCAGGTGCTTCACTGCCCTGCACTGCCATTTTCCAATGTCTATATTTGTCATTTGATATCCTGTATCCAGATGGTAATATATGAACATGTGTTTATAGGAATATATATCTAAATAATTTTAGCATTAGAGCCTTAAACATAGCCTAATGTTGTGAAACCACTTTAAAGAAACGCTTCTTGCTATAAGTAAAGATCTCCTGATGCCTGTATTAAAAGTTTCATCTTGATCTATTATTCTTCACAAGTGATTAAATATCTTGTAAGAATAAAGGTCATCATTTGATTAGTTTTGCTGTATCTAGTATTATATATACATATTGTGATATAAAGTACTTGTTGATGCTTTTCTTATTTATAGTATAAAATTTTTCAGAATCTTATTTTATAATCTTATTATATCATCTTTGCACAAACCATGCATGGTGGTTATGATGGGGAGAAAGTAGGATTGATGATAACGAGAAAGAGATTAATTTATATCTTTGATGTCAGTAATAATAATAACGTTTATATGTCACATATATTTTTGCAAAGATTTCATATCTGTGCAATGATTATTTCTCTATTTTTACTGCATTAATATTGTTTTGCAAAAATTATACTAATTTAATCTCTCTTTCTTTTCAGGGATGCATTTGCTTCTAGAAATATGAGTGCCTTATATGCAAAGCTCAAAAGGTAATATCTAATGTGATACTTATGTCATAGATAGCACAGTGAAGTCTCAAAAGCTTAGCATTCAGTAACTGTAAGCTAATTTTTTCTTTTTCTTTCTTTCTTTTTCTTTTTCTCAGATTAACTTTTAACTTTGTGCTCCCCCCCCCAAAAAAAAAAAAAAAAAAAAAAAAAATGCTTCACGCAAGTAATTTTCACAATTTTATTGTTATGGTATTGCAGTGAAAAGTACAATGTGCATATTCAAACAAAATATTTAAAACAATCTGATAACTTTTATTATAGAAATGAAGTGGTTGGTAAAAGAATGATAAGAATGCTTGCATTAAATAGAAAGAATTCTATCCTGTTCATATAGTAGAATATTCATCATTTTAAATTATTTGTAATAATAGAATAAAAAAAGGTTAAAAGGGATGGAATAGAATACAGTAAAGAGGGAAAAAAGACTTTCTTAATTTTTTCCCATCTTTGTAAACACTTTTTTCTTCCAGATTACTACTAATTCCAACCCATTGTCCTGCAGGTTGCTGTGGAACTAAGGGAGTCACAAGACATGAATGCCCTAGAGAGCAGATTCCTGTCAGCTTTACTAAATAGGAGATAGTAAGAGGAATTGAATGCTTGTATTTTTTTGGTTGTAGTATTTATTTGGAGAAACGAGCAATGGAGGTTGCTTGCCATGAAGATGTGGTCAGCCAAAAACAGGGAGCAGGCGAAGATTGTGAAAATGAAAGGAAGGTTGATGTAAATAATATAGGCAACTTTAAAGTGGGAAATGACCCTCCTAGGATGAGGACAAGATTTCTCCAAGAAGACCTAATTCTCAAGGAGGAGCTGGTCGATGATCCTGTTACTCTTGTGGAGGATGGTCCAAATGCCGCTGGAGGACACAGTGATATGTATGCTGCGGAATTCGTTGTTGTCCAAGAAAAGTCTGAGGTGGTAAAGAATGAAGAATCCCAGATGTGTGATAGAATGGATGTTGATATTAAGGCAGAAAAAGAAAGGAAAGTGAAGACATACCAGTGTGAAAATTGTGCATGGGTATGTAATTCTCTGTCAAATTTAAAGAAACATAAGATGGTGCACACTGGGGAGAGACCACATACTTGTACTGAATGTAATAAGACATTCAGACAGATTCATCACTTGAAGGATCACATACGGACACACACAGGTGAACGACCTTTTAAGTGTAATGAGTGTGGATCAACTTTTGCACAAAGGTCTTCATTAAATGTGCACAAGAAAAAGCATACAGGCATCAAACCCTATGTCTGCAAGATTTGTGACCATGCAACTTATGAAAAAGAGCATTTGGTGATCCACATGAGAACTCATACTGGGGAAAAACCTTATCAGTGCGAAGAATGTGGTCAGACATTCTCTACAATGACAAGGTTAAAGTTTCACATAATGATTCATACAGGTGAGAGGAGATATACATGTGAAGAATGTGGCGCCCGCTTTCGAGAGAAGGCAACCCTTCAGAAACATCGTGGTGTTCACTTAGTTAGAGGGCCATTTCCTTGTAAAACTTGTGGCAAAGAATTTCCAAGGTTAGCAAGTTTATCTCTTCATCGTAGAATACATGAACAGCCAGTATATCCGCTAGCTGAAAATAGAGTTAATAGTCTTCCATCCACTGATCAAGTAACAGCAAATGTAGACCCTGCTACAGCTTCTACACATGTACTCAAAGAAACAGAACAGTATGCTAAGAAGGAAGAAATAGTGAACAGACCGTGTGCTTTTGAAAACATTCCACATGTAACAGAGTCAATTGAGTTAACTACATCACAAAGCAAGCAGGCATATTTTAATGAAGTACAAGAAGATCAACTTGTAAGTAGTGAAACTAGTCATAATGTTTGCGCAGAACAACAGGAAAATGTAATTTTAGAGTCTTCACCAATCAATTCCTCATTTAGTAATAATGAAACAGTAGTGCAAGCTGAAAATGAATCTCAGAGTGTGATAAGCATTGCAGACCCTGATCAAGTACAAAAGGCTTTGGAAAGTGGGACTGTGTGGGAAACACACCAAGAAAATGGGGAGGAGCTTCTGATTGTGATACCACCATCCTTAACAGGAAGAGAAATAACATTAGTCTCTGATGTGAATCGCATGCATAACAGAGAAGCAACATTCACACAGACAGCAGCTCCAGTTTTCCACCTATCACAGGACCAGGCTGAAGTTGTACGGGATTACCCACAAGTTATTCATGAAGAAATCCATGAGAAAGTGCAGCAGAGTCATCCGCATATTGTACAAGAGGAGCACAACCCTGAAGTACAGACTTACCCTATAGTTCTTGAAGAAGAAGTACATGAAACCAATTCAGGACTCTTGGTATGGGATGATGGCCTAGATCCTGTTACTGAAGTGACGTATGTAATAGAGGAAGGGGCTCAGGATCCAATCATGATACATCAAGATCAAGCCCACTTTGTACATGAAAGTAAAGTGGTTACAGAAGTTACAAGGAAGAGGAAGAAAACAAAGGAGTTTTGGCTTATGGATGGAGAAGAAAAGCAAGAAAAAATGAAGGAACAGGATTCTGAATCAGTGAGATCTGTTTTAGTTAAGACAAAGATTAAAAAGAAAAAACAAATTGATAAGAAAGTAAGAGTGCGTAAAGATTATGACTGTCAGCAGTGTGGGAAGTCCTGCAAAACCTCCTCCAACTATAATACTCATATGAGAAAACACACTGGGGAAAGGCCATATTTTTGTGGTATATGTGGTCTGGGTTTCAAACAGATACCTCACCTCAGGGGCCATATCAGAACCCATACTGGTGAGAAACCATATACTTGCTCCAATTGTAATGCAAGTTTTGCTCAGACTTCAAGATTAAATATCCATAAAAAGAAATGCAATAAGGAAACACCAGTTGCTGCAAAGAAACCAAAACTGGAACCTGCATGTAAGGTGAGAAACTTTTACTGTAAAATCTGTGATAAGACTTTTATTGATGAATGCTTTAAGAGAGATCATATGAAGACACATATGGAATCTAGCCAACACACCTGTGAAATATGTGGTATGACTTATAAAAGTAAAAGTAGTATGCAGAAACACAAGCTGGTACATTTTAAAGATAAATGGAATTGTCAGTTATGTGGAGAAAGTTTCAGTAATAAGGCAACCTTGCACTTCCATAAGGTAGCAGTGCACAAATCAGATGAAGTTGGTAATGATGCTTCAGGAATGGTTATTAATGTGAAGATTGGAGAAGAAAAAGATTTTGTTGTTATCAATCCTTCCATTAAGAATGTTTCCAGTGACTGTGGGATTGATGGCCAGATTAAAACAGAAGAGATAGAAATTACAGAAGCAGATAATTATTCTGTCAAGAGAGAGGTAATAGAGATTACAGATGCAGAGGATGGTACTGTGAAAAGTGAGGTAATGTCTGCAGGTGATGAGGAAAGTTGTACACAGATATCAGATGCCGATAGAAGTACCAATGAGGACCAGGGAACTGATTTTACTAAACCTTTAGGTAATACTGATATAAAAACTGAAATTCAGGACTTACTTACTGTGGATGCACATGACTCTGGTAAAGTAATAAAGAAGGAAGTTGGTGCAGGAAAGTTAAAAGCCGTTTATGATGAGCAAGGAAGGAAGGTATTTGTTTGCAAAGTTTGTGACAAAGCCTTTTTACAGTCATCAAATCTCCTTAGTCATATGAGAATGCATACAGGTGAAAGGCCCTATAAGTGTAATTTATGTCCATTAGCATTTAGACAGATAACTCATCTCAAAGATCACATGAACACACACACTGGTGTAAGAGCATTTAAGTGTGGAGTTTGTCAGATGACTTTCTCTCAGAGGTCAGCTGCCAGGCGCCATATAAAGACAGTTCATGATCGCAATGCAGATGTTGTCAAGATTGGAAATGTTTATTCACTACGAAATGCCCCAACTGATCCTGATAACCAAGCTCAGGAAACAAATGATCCAAATCAAATCAGTAAGATGAAAAAGGGGAAAACATCTGAAAAGATCTATGAAACATGTGAGAAGTGTGAAAGGAGGTATTCAACCTCATACATGAAAATCCACCTAAGGTGCCACTCAGGTGAAAGGCCTTTTAGTTGTGATGTTTGTAAACAGTCATTCAAACAGAAGTCACACCTTTTGTCTCATATGCTGCGCCACACAGGAGAAAAACCCTATGTATGCAATGTATGTCATGCATCTTACACGCAGTCATATAGGCTAAAGGAACATATGAAGAAATGTATTGAAGAAAAGATCAGCAATAAAAAGGGTAATGATGAACAGAGTAATAAAGCAAACAGAAAAAAAGAAAAAGGAAAGGTTAAGACTGACATTAAAAATGAATTTGTATGCAGCTGTGGTGCTACTTTTAAGAGACAGGTTCTCTTGACTAGTCACAGGCAGAAATGTACTTGGAACATCGAAAGTGATCACAGCACGGATGTTAGTGATGAGGAAATTCCCTACCATGATGACAGTGATGAGGAAATAGAACAGGAAAGTAGGCAGGATGGTAACAAAGGCTGTGCCAAGAGAGAGAAAGGGGACAAGGGACTTCCAACAAAAGCAGACAAAAAAGTGAAGCAGTTCACGTGTAGTAAATGTGGTAGGTTATTTGAGGATTTCCTTCTGTACAAAGATCATTTAAAAGAGCATAGCAGCAGCCTGACAGAGGTTTGTGAAGAATGTGGAACAGTTTTCAGAAGGGCTTCAGCTTTAGCATTCCATCAGAAGATGAATCACAATAAGTCAAATGATGAATGGTCATATGGATATAGTGAAGAGAAAGAAGTTCATGTTAAAAGAGAAGTCATTAACACTGATGAAGAAGAATTTGAGCAAATTATGCTTGTTGAAAAAGTGAATATAAAGACAGAAGATACAAAAGCATCAAAAACAGAATGCAGAGGAGACAGCCACCATGAAAAAAAATCAGAATTAAATTTGGGAAAAGGAAGGACAGGATCTGGTACAAAGGAAGAGAAAATTGTTCAAAGTGGTAATACACATACAAAAGATAAAAACTGTTTAAGTACAAATCCAACTGTAGAACAGAAGGAAAAGAGAGTGATCAGCAGAACTAAAAAGCCCTTAAAAGAACATGTTTGCAGACTGTGTAATGAAATATTTAAAAGTCAGATGGACCTCAGCAGCCACACTAAGATTTGTAAATTGACAGGAAGTTCTGTGAAAGTCAGAAGAAAAAAGAATGCAGCTAAAGGTGCTTCTTTCAATAAAAATGTTAGTGAAGTTGAGTGTGAAAACAATCCAAAGATAGCAGAAATGCAGTATCCTTGTAAACTGTGTGGTCAGACTTTCACTAGGTCATCAAAGCTGAAACATCATTTGAACATGTGGTGCAAAGGTATGAAAAAGGAGTCTAAAACTTGATAAAGTATACAATTCAGGTAAATCTTATAGTATGGAGTTATTACTGCATGTGCATTTTAGGTGGCTGGTTAATTTATGTGGTTTTATTTATTCTGTTTATTTTTTAAGAAAACAACTTCATTAGATATAGCTAAATGATGTAACAGTAAATGTCATTTTCCTCCAAAGTTAAGAACGTGTTGAATATTCTAGTCATGTCACTATGCAGTGGTTGTTTCTGTAGTGAATACATATTTTTGGTAAAGCTGATATCAGTTTTATATTGATTTATTATGAAATAAGAAAGCATTAACATTTTATGATAGATTTTGTATATTATAAAACTAATTTCCATATTTAAGAGATTTGAAATATGTCTAAGTGATATGGTAAAAGTTGTCTGTTATGATAATTTTTTTATTGTGTGATAAGGCTGCTTTTATACATTTATGGAAGTTGATTAAAAAAAAAGAAAAAGGAAAGGTTAAGACTGACATTAAAAATGAATTTGTATGCAGCTGTGGTGCTACTTTTAAGAGACAGGTTCTCTTGACTAGTCACAGGCAGAAATGTACTTGGAACATCGAAAGTGATCACAGCACGGATGTTAGTGATGAGGAAATTCCCTACCATGATGACAGTGATGAGGAAATAGAACAGGAAAGTAAGCAGGATGGTAACAAAGGCTGTGCCAAGAGAGAGAAAGGGGACAAGGGACTTCCAACAAAAGCAGACAAAAAAGTGAAGCAGTTCACGTGTAGTAAATGTGGTAGGTTATTTGAGGATTTCCTTCTGTACAAAGATCATTTAAAGAGCATAGCAGCAGCCTGACAGAGGTTTGTGAAGAATGTGGAACAGTTTTCAGAAGGGCTTCAGCTTTAGCATTCCATCAGAAGATGAATCACAATAAGTCAAATGATGAATGGTCATATGGATATAGTGAAGAGAAAGAAGTTCATGTTAAAAGAGAAGTCATTAACACTGATGAAGAAGAATTTGAGCAAATTATGCTTGTTGAAAAAGTGAATATAAAGACAGAAGATACAAAAGCATCAAAAACAGAATGCAGAGGAGACAGCCACCATGAAAAAAAATCAGAATTAAATTTGGGAAAAGGAAGGACAGGATCTGGTACAAAGGAAGAGAAAATTGTTCAAAGTGGTAATACACATACAAAAGATAAAAACTGTTTAAGTACAAATCCAACTGTAGAACAGAAGGAAAAGAGAGTGATCAGCAGAACTAAAAAGCCCTTAAAAGAACATGTTTGCAGACTGTGTAATGAAATATTTAAAAGTCAGATGGACCTCAGCAGCCACACTAAGATTTGTAAATTGACAGGAAGTTCTGTGAAAGTCAGAAGAAAAAAGAATGCAGCTAAAGGTGCTTCTTTCAATAAAAATGTTAGTGAAGTTGAGTGTGAAAACAATCCAAAGATAGCAGAAATGCAGTATCCTTGTAAACTGTGTGGTCAGACTTTCACTAGGTCATCAAAGCTGAAACATCATTTGAACATGTGGTGCAAAGGTATGAAAAAGGAGTCTAAAACTTGATAAAGTATACAATTCAGGTAAATCTTATAGTATGGAGTTATTACTGCATGTGCATTTTAGGTGGCTGGTTAATTTATGTGGTTTTATTTATTCTGTTTATTTTTTAAGAAAACAACTTCATTAGATATAGCTAAATGATGTAACAGTAAATGTCATTTTCCTCCAAAGTTAAGAACGTGTTGAATATTCTAGTCATGTCACTATGCAGTGGTTGTTTCTGTAGTGAATACATATTTTTGGTAAAGCTGATATCAGTTTTATATTGATTTATTATGAAATAAGAAAGCATTAACATTTTATGATAGATTTTGTATATTATAAAACTAATTTCCATATTTAAGAGATTTGAAATATGTCTAAGTGATATGGTAAAAGTTGTCTGTTATGATAATTTTTTTATTGTGTGATAAGGCTGCTTTTATACATTTATGGAAGTTGATTAAAAAAAAAGAAAAAAATCTTTTCATTTATTCCTAATATATGAACCAGTTAAAGAATTTCTGTATGCTTGCATGTGTGCATCTGTGTGTATGTGTGAGCATAAGTTTGACTTATTACTGTGTGAGATCATTTTAAACACTAGTGATAAGGGTAAGTATGTTACCTAAACAAGTCACATGGGATGGAAGGCTATGTAGGGAATCAAAGATTTATTTGACTGATATTTCATGTTTTAGAAATGCTTACCAAAATTGTGTCATTGGTCCAGTATAACACATATAAAGTTTCCTGTCTGCAGTGAAGTTTGCTGGCTGCATATGGTAGACCTTTACAGGATTCATACAGACATATGGCATCATGATCTTCATTAAGAAGTGTAAACATTGAATATCAAGCAATGAAATCCTTTTCCAGAATATTCCATTCAAACCTGGGGGTTTACATAGTGTAGTAACACAAGATGAAACGTTCCTTATAGTACAGTCCCATAGTTCCATTTGTAAAAAGTGATTCTCTAGTTTAGCTTTAGGAACAAGTAATGCTGGTGGATAGTTTGCAACATCTGTTATTGATGATTCAGTAGTGGCAGTAGTATTTGTTACCCTTAATCCAATGCCACCATCATAAACAGCTTTTATATTTTTGGTGAAATATCTCTGCACATAGATGGCTCTGCTAGTGCTTAGCCATAAAGGAGTCAATTAGTAGACCTTGTGACCTTACCTGGTTTCACCTTTCCTTGAATTGGCAGGAAAAGCATTTTTTTTTACTAATGCTATGAATATTGATGGTGTTAATTTTATTATAGACCTTAAAATTACTATAATTTTATAAACATTAGTAACAGCAAAATATGATAATATAAAATATTTTTGAAAAGCAAGGAAAAGGGTAAATTGGCTCATTGGTGACTTAGTACAAGTGTAGCCATCTATGTGTAAAAACAATTAATAAAGTAAATTCACAGTGGGCATGACATGTACTTACATGCCATGCCCGTTAGGCTTGGGTTAATCGCTTAGCCCTTACCCCTCATGGGGACACTGAGGGCTCACCATGGCCAATAATGAAATTTTTTTACCCTTATTAGGAACATTAAGGCTTCACCCTGCCCTCATCCTTCTGCTACTTCCACCAAACCTTTTTTGTTCCCTTTTTTGGCCCAGCCAAGTGGGATGGATTCTTTGTGATTCCCCCTACAGCCACGTACTCTGACAATACCCTTCTCTTCCAAATGTTTTCAAAACAGGTAGTCAGAGTTTACTTTTGCAGTCGTTCTGATCGTTGACGCTTGACACAGTTACATATGAGTCCCAAGTTCATGCATTATCTACTCTGACTGACCTCACTGGCAAACCTATTGCTGCCCAAACTCACTCTTCCCTTAATACTTGTACTGGAACTGTTTATGTCTCTCTGACTGATTGTCCTGTCTATGACAAGGACTGGTCAGACTGTGAAGAGGACTTGCTTGTCAACTATGATGCAGTGGCAGTCCAGTGCTACACTATTCCTCCCAGAGGCCAATGTAAGTCTTATTACCAAGATTAGCTTCTGTAGACATGACCACCCCCATGAAGTGGAGTGTCCTACCCTGTCCAGCCCACTGCCCATTATGTGCCCAACCTGGTCATGACCATTAAAATTGCTCTGCTCAGTCACATATGTATGCCAATTGTGGTGGCTCCCATAATGTATTTTATTTTACCTAAACAAGTCACATGGGATGGAAGGCTATGTAGGGAATCAAAGATTTATTTGATTGATATTTCATGTTTTAGAAATGCATACCAAAATTGTGTCATTGGTCCAGTATAACACATATAAAGTTTCCTGTCTGCAGTGAAGTTTGCTGGCTGCATATGGTAGACCTTTACAGGATTCATACAGACATATGGCATCATGATCTTCATTAAGAAGTGTAAACATTGAATATCAAGCAATGAAATCCTTTTCCAGAATATTCCATTCAAACCTGGGGGTTTACATAGTGTAGTAACACAAGATGAAACGTTCCTTATAGTACAGTCCCATAGTTCCATTTGTAAAAAGTGATTCTCTAGTTTAGCTTTAGGAACAAGTAATGCTGGTGGATAGTTTGCAACATCTGTTATTGATGATTCAGTAGTGGCAGTAGTATTTGTTACCCTTAATCCAATGCCACCATCATAAACAGCTTTTATATTTTTGGTGAAATATCTCTGCACATAGATGGCTCTGCTAGTGCTTAGCCATAAAGGAGTCAATTAGTAGACCTTGTGACCTTAGCTGATTTGAATTCGCAGGAAAAATTATTTTTTACTAGTGCCATGAATATCGATGGTACTATTTTTATAATAATTATTATAAATTATATTATAATTATAATATTTATTATATTATAATCACTATAATGTTATAAACATTAGTAACAGCAAAATAAGATAACATAAAATATTTCTGTAAATCAAAGAAAAGGGTAAATAGGTAGTACTCGTAATTGGCTAATAGGTGACTTAGTATAAGTGTAGCCAACTATGTGTTAAAAAAATTAATAAAGTAAACTCACAGTGGGCATGACATGTACTTACATGCCATGCCCGTTAGGCTTGGGTTAATCGCTTAGCCCTTACCCCTCATGGGGACACTGAGGGCTCACCATGGCCAATAATGAAATTTTTTTACCCTTATTAGGAACATTAAGGCTTCACCCTGCCCTCATCCTTCTGCTACTTCCACCAAACCTTTTTTGTTCCCTTTTTTGGCCCAGCCAAGTGGGATGGATTCTTTGTGATTCCCCCTACAGCCACGTACTCTGACAATACCCTTCTCTTCCAAATGTTTTCAAAACAGGTAGTCAGAGTTTACTTTTGCAGTCGTTCTGATCGTTGACGCCTTGACACAGTTACATATGAGTCCCAAGTTCATGCATTATCTACTCTGACTGACCTCACTGGCAAACCTATTGCTGCCCAAACTCACTCTTCCCTTAATACTTGTACTGGAACTGTTTATGTCTCTCTGACTGATTGTCCTGTCTATGACAAGGACTGGTCAGACTGTGAAGAGGACTTGCTTGTCAACTATGATGCAGTGGCAGTCCAGTGCTACACTATTCCTCCCAGAGGCCAATGTAAGTCTTATTACCAAGATTAGCTTCTGTAGACATGACCACCCCCATGAAGTGGAGTGTCCTACCCTGTCCAGCCCACTGCCCATTATGTGCCCAACCTGGTCATGACCATTAAAATTGCTCTGCTCAGTCACATATGTATGCCAATTGTGGTGGCTCCCATAATGTATTTTATAGGTGCTGCCCTGCCTGCAAGCTCAAATCTTGAAGTAGCAGTTCACAGATTCAAACCAGGCCTCACTCTGTGTGAGGCCAGACAAGAAGCACTCTGTGACAAGGTTTTCTCTTTATACTTATTCCAAAACTGTACTTCACTCTGCTCCCCTCCCATCCATCTTCTCAAGAAGTCTCAGCATCTCCCCCCAGTTAAATTCCTTTTCCAGTCTAAATCCAGATACTCCAATCTCTTCCACTTCCCTGGTACCCAGTCCTCCTCCTCCTCCTCACTCTATCTGTCACACCAGACCGTAACCGTCTAAATGTTCTGCTCCATCTTGTACCACATCCTTTCCTACACCCACCTTGCCCTCTGCTCCTCAGAACTCTATTCTCTCTTTTCCTCCCCATAAGAAAATGTTTGTTTCTCAGACCTCAAAAGTTCCTAAACCTGACCCAAGAGAATGCTCCACTCCCTCATCCACCCTGTAATTCCTCTATTCCTATTTGCTCTGCATTCAAAGTATTTGCCAATATCCATCCTCCTCCCCCTCCTCAAGTTCCCCCTACCCCTCTTCCTCCTACTCTGCCAAAAAACACCCCATTGTCTCCTCATCCATGTGCATCACCATTCCCTCTTCCTTCCCCATTATCCTTATCACTCCTACCTAGATGTTCATGTGACTTCCTTGTCACAACAATGCCCTCCTCCTGATCCCTTTCCTCCTGACATTCTTCCCAATACTTTACCACCTTCCCCTGTTCCCTTATCTCATCCTCTGGATTCTTCTCCTAGTTCTACAACTATCATTTCTCACTGTAGTACCCTTTGATTGTTTTATAATGGTTCCTTTGCAGTTTTCCTCATAATGTGTTACTCTCCCTTCCTCAGACACATACTCTCCTTTTGATCTGATTGCCCTATACCTTAAACTCCATCCCCTTTTACAAATCCTTACTGTATTCCATTTGCTCCCCCTCTTTACCCTTTTACTACCATTCTATCCTACAACCTTCAACATCTAACACATCTTATCCTGATTGTTAATTCACTTTCACACTTTTCGTCACAATACTTTACCATAGTGCTATATGACCTTTGATGTCTAGCACATTTATTTCTTCTAACCATTAACCATTACCTGAAAAAAAAATCTTTCAAGAAGTCTTCTTTATACTTGCTGGGGCACTTCTCATTCTTATCTGCTATTGACTATAACTGCTTCTGTAGTTGATAATTGCAAGTAATAAATCTTATTTCACTTAAAGGTTTATGTAATGTACATCTATGTTTCATATTTTACATAATCAGGGATAATAATCATGATAAATGCTATTATTATTTTTGATGCACAATTTCAAATAGTAAAATTTCTTTCTGCTTTTGGCAAACTCACTTTTTTGTTTAGTTTATTTCTCACCGCGATAATTACATGTATTTAAAAAGAAGTACATTTGTAAGAATATTTATTCAAACATTTAATAGCAGAAGACTGTCAGACATAGTACGACTTTATTAATATTCTTTACTTACACATGGCTTCGTGTTTAGTCCCAATGAGTCAGTTACAAGGCCTAATTAATTGCTTACTTCATTCCTTGAATTTTTAAAAAGTTCTTTATTTGTATTACCTTTATTATTTAGCACTGGTATAATAATGATAACAATAACATTAACATTAACAGTAATTAAATAACTTTTTCATAAAAAAAAATCAAGGAATGGGGAAAACAGATAAGACCAGATGGGCTTAGTAACTGAAGCCTCAGTAACATCTGTGGGTGAAGTTTATTAAATAATACTGCAGTTGCATCTATCACAATACCAATGGATGAAATTTAACAATAAGACTACATTTCTTATTTTACAGTTATAGATCTTGCTTCATATAGTCAATGGACTATAAAAAAATTGCCGTATCCTATTACAGCATTACACTGCATCTGTATTCCTTTCTTGGTAAGGTTTGTTCTAGATATTTTTTAGATGTGTAATATTGGGCTATCCCTTTGGTAGCACATTTTGAAGCAGTCTTTGTTGAAACAGGAAATTATAAGTAAAACTTACTTTGCCAGCTACAAAATTTTATAGATTAACTAGATTTTCCTTTTTCATATGACAAAGGATAACATGAATAACACTTCACACTTTGAAACAGTTCTTTATTTTTGGAAGAAGCTTGAAGAGGTCATTTACATGAGTTAAGAAGCACCTTATAAGTGTTAAAGGAACTACCTGCTTCCTTATTAGTGCAGCCAGGCCTCTTACCTGCTCTACCTCATCTGGCAAATACAAATGTCTAATTAGGACTAGTAATTACTTAATAAATAGAAGTGTAAATGTACCACAACAATTTGGTATTCATACACTCCTTGATAGTGAACCTGGTCTAGCTTTACAAATCTTGACTTTACTGTGTATTGTGCAGCTTGGATATTTATTACCCATCAAGTGGAAGTTACAATATGGAAGTATGATTTACAATATTTAAAATTGATAAAAGTTTTTTTTTTATAACTATCATTCAAACATATGGACATTATGTACATAACATTAGAACATTGACTGACACAGTCATGTGTTTTCAGTTACTTGAGACTGCCAATACAAAGGATAAACTATATTAAGAGTCACTAAATACAAAATTTACAGTCAAATTTCACTGGGGTAAGTAATCTTAGATTTACGCACACTATAAATGCAGATTTACATTAAATACAAATAATACATATATTTGTAAATGTGTTAATTAAACTAATATTCAAGTGTTTTTGGAGCTTCAATCATTTGCATATTGATTCAGAAGTGCATAATATAAGCAAGACTTAACAGTCATTAATGCATATCCTAGATAAGAAATATATTTCAAACATTAATGAAATAGGGAATCAGCTCATATATTAAAATCTGCCTAGAGTAATTATTAAAGTATATTTATATTCTAGGTTAGGTAACCTATGCAACACACATGGAAAGCAAAAAATAAAAATAAAATAAAAAACAATGGGACAACATTTTTCTGATTTGATTGCAGAACACATGGATTGTGTAAAATGAGTACATGATACATGGTGCTGAATAAAACAACATTGCTGAGAAAACATTTTCCTAATAGGCTTCACATGCTCTGATCATTTTTTAAAATGATCCCAGTTTAATGTCTTTCATGCTTCTAATAAGTAAAATGAGGTTTTACGGAAAAACCCTGACTCATTTCATAACTGGTTTCCCACTTAACGAGGCTACGCAATGCAAAATGTTTATTTTATTTATTTATTTATTTCCGATGAAAACTTGCATAAATGTATATCACAACTGCTAGACCTCATGTCATGACACATTTCTTTTTAGTCTAGAAATCCTCCAGAAAGTCCATCATTACCCACTAGTATAAATTATGATAACAATCCCTGATTTCTCCCATAAAGAATGTTCTACTTTGTCAAATACATGATTTCTACTATCATCATATTTTAGAGGTCATCATGGAGCATGTTCTTAAAAACTATACATCAGTCTTTATGTAGAATTGCCTATCAATGAGCCCTACACTTTTATATCTGCATTACTATAAAAGTTCCCTAACTTCACTTTGTATATAAAACAACCTATTTTGTTACCTAATTTACCCCTATTAAGCCTCTCTGTTATCAGTAAAGTCATTAAGAGCTATGTGAGATTGTTCAGAATATTCACACTAGATGAACTGCTGCTAATGTTCACTTGTTCAGTTGATTTACACAAGATTCGGTCTGCTTACACTTGTCATCATTACTTTTGTTACAAAGTTGCAGATTGCTGTTGCAGGCTGTTCAGGTTCAAGTTCTGCCAAGATGTGGCACTGATTTTCTGTTCTGCTGGCTCCCTTCTTAGCAACAAAGCCAAACACTCGGCTGAAAGAAGAAAGGTATATGTAGTGAAATAAACCAAAAATGTGGTGTAACTGAAGAAATAAGTCTTTTATATTATCATTATATCTCTACATAATTGTGTAATGAAAATAGAAAAATATCTTACTGTGAGCCAACTGGAACTCCTTCCTCATTCTTCTGCGCCCATCGTCGATCATCAGGGTCTAGACCACAGTGGGAAATGGTGTTCACTGGGTAGTGACGGCGGAAGAACAGTTTTCTTTCATTGTCTGTCAGTGTGATGCCTTGTGCAGAAACCTTGAAGTGCACAACAGTTGGAGTTATCTTGGCTGCAAGCATCAGACTGACTGCACGCTTTACTGCTTGTGGGCCAGTCAGGCTTTCCGTGTCTGCAGTATGGAGATACATAACATTGCATGCTGCTCCTTGTTGCAAGAGTTGTGAAGTGGAGCTGGAGCTTCCACTTGTACTGACACTGCTATCCACAGAATCAGGAGCACCTGCTGGGTCACGCTCAGGTAGCACCAAGCGACACGGCAGAGCCAGAGCCGTAATCGAATGTTGATACACCAATGCAGAGAGAGAACCTGTATGGTAAAGCAGAATTTGAAGTGAGATTAGAGCCTCCAAGTTATGACAGGATAATTCATAACATGCAATAATAATAATCAGAAGAATGCTAAAACACTGCCAAGAACAAACATCAGAACTAACCAAAAACTGGTTCATTGGCGCAGCCTTTGAGTCGGACTCCTCTTGAAGTTGGCTCAATAAGGAAGTGTCTTACTAATTCACTAGCTGGGTCACTAGATTTACTTGTGACATTTGGAGGTGGAGTAGAAACTTTTAAGGCCAAACCAAAAGCTCCTGGGAATGAGTTGGAATCTCGGACAACAAACGTTCCTGGAGCTTTGTCCTTGAGCATACTGATTGCTAGGTTGGGGAAAAATTATAGTGTTTTAAAACTTTTGGTATATGTATAGTATTGAAATGTTTAAGTATAGAATATCACAATTAAATTTTTATACTGTATTCATAATGTCAGTAACACAATATGTATAATAAGTATGTTTAAGGGAAGACAATTGTAAATAATAATTAAAATATTTACCTTCATCTCTTGTTATAGTAGGTTTATACCAGAATTTTGAGATGTCTTTAACAAACTTGGGATGCGATGAAATGACCTCTGATGACTCGTTCAATGAGGTGAGTGATGAGCGACGAGACTGACTGTGGTAGAGGGAAGGAGCTGGACTGGAATGCCCATTTAACTCCTGCCGCAGCGTTTGAGATGTGGCAGGCGATGGGCTTCTCACTCCCATTTCTTTGCTGTTTTATTATTGAGAGGAAAAGAAAATAATACATAAACATACATGATTGGTAAGACAGAAAAAGAAAGGAAAATAAAAGTATGATAATAGGTACATAGCCTTTCCAAATATATTATGAAGACACATAGCTCAAATTTTCTTAAGCTTGATAAATTACTAGCCACATGTTACTACTATAATAAATGTCTAATAGCATGATACTCATTAAAAGCAAGCAGGAAAAGCTTGTATACTTAACTCAAATAATTCTTAATTGTAATAAATAAATAATTTACACTGAAACAGGACACTGGAACATCTTCATTGCCAAACAACCCACATAAATTATGGTCAATAAATCTTATAGCAGTATCTTCTAATCATAATACAGTATCAGTCAATTTTTCAGTGTGGTTACTAATGGTAGCATGCATCCTTTTTATAAATATTTGTAAACCATTTGCATGACAAAACTATAAATCTAAGAATGTGCAACTACAATATATTCTCTTTACCGTACATCTGTTTTATCTATATGCAAATATACATGTGTACACCAGTCTATATGTACATTAGCATACAATACACACTTCCACTTCAATAAAACATTAAATCATTCATTCATACTACTGTACACACATACATACATGTCTGAATGCACATATGCTTTTTTTGTGTGTGTGTGGGAGTGGGGTGGGGGTTTATGTGGTGGTATGCGTGCGTGGTGGTGTGTGTGTGTGTGTGTGGGGGGGGGGGGTGCATGGTGGGGTATGTATGTGTGGTGGGGTGTGTGTGTGTGTGGTGGGGTGTGTGTGTGTGGTGGGGTGTGTGTGTGTGTGGTGGGGTGTGTGGTGGGGTGTGTGTGTGTGGTGGGGTGTGTGTGTGTGGTGGGGTGTGTGTGTGTGGTGGGGTGTGTGTGTGTGGTGGGGTGTGTGTGTGTGGTGGGGTGTGTGTGTGTGGTAGGGTAAGGGGTGAGGGTGTGCATGCATGTTCTTCATAAGAAAATGATTACATTCTTCAGTGACCTGATCTGTATCTTTTCTGAGTGCATGTCTTATTACCAGTGAATATATCTGTACAAGCATCATCTTACCTGATTATAATACATTAATGCAATACAACGCAAGGTTTTACCCTGTACTGAATTCACAAAGACCTATCCAAAAAGCTAACCTGGGAAGCGATGCAGACTTTTTGACGATCGGTCGGGACGAAAGAGAGGACAGGCCAAGATGTGCTCTTCTGCTTGGCATCCATTAATTCAACATAAATTGCACATTTACCAACATTGATTTACAAACAGAGGATAATGTCCAGGTCACCGTTCACATTTTTTATCCATTTTTTGTTTTTTGTTTTTTTTTTTCCAAGAAAGTAACACTCCCATGGATCAGTGTCATTGTGGGTTATCATGGGTTAGTCATGAAGATAATTATTTGAATTTTGTAAATCATTATATACGGTGCGCAAGTTCATTGTTGTTGCAGGGTAGGCAGCATGCACATTTTGCAAAGTCCCATTGTTAGCAGCGGCACAGATTGTCAGTCGCACCAATTGGGTCAGCAAGGTAGTTAGGAGAATCAGTGTAGAGAAAGAGAGAGAGGGGGAATAATACAATTCAAGATTAGAAATTATTCTGTTTTTAAGGTCATTATCTAAGGAATTGAACACTTTCACATTCACAGAAGTAAAGAATTCATGATAAAATTCAAGCCACTTAACCAGATACACTTTGGCATAAAGCTTTTTAAGTACAGTGCTGAATTTGTGATAGTGTGTGGCCAAATTTTATCATACGACTGAACATCTGTAGTTGCAAAAGGGTTATATAAAAATCAAACAAACAAACCATTAATGGTTGTGCAGTTGTGAAATGTGACAAGACATTAATTTGGAGCATCAAATGTACAAACAATTAACTAATTTATTTATAAGATAAGACAAACAAAAATTGACAACTGAATTGTATACTGAAATACATCCAAGCTAAAATCACTACATACTTCAGAATTATGATCATGTTGTGCAACATCTACTCAGTACACAGATGCCCAAGCTTTAGTATATTATTTCCTTCAAATATTATATACACATACATTGAATGTCAATATTCAATGGTTGTCAATATTTGTGTACGTTTTGTGAATTATATATAACCACAATTTATCTAGAATATGAATTGTAAATGTAGAATAGTTCTCTCAAAATACAAAAATGAAAAGCAATTGTTTGGTGCCTTAGTACCAGCAAAATCAATCAAAGAGAAAAAAAAAAAAAAATTAAAAAATCATACTTTTAAAGACTCAGCTGCTAGTTCAGGCAAATGTTTTGTTAATAGAATGCTAGCAAGCAACATCTAAATATTCAAGCACATCTCTATTTTTTTCATTCATAATGGGTTAAATAAAGAAACATAATTGAAAAAATATTATACAAATCACAGCCACACATGCAGCACTTGGGCCAGAAAAAGGTGGAAGAAATCTGGTATTAAAAAACACATTAACATAAAAAGGGGGGGAACACAAAACAAAAAACAAACAACAAAAACAAGTGAGACTCACCGTTGCATGGTCGGGCTTTTGGGAGGCAAACCCTGGTTCAAGTATGGTGTTGTGGGGGTGGCAGGGGGGAATCCTGGCGTGATGGGACGATTTCCACCGTAACTGCTCTCTGTGTCACTCTGCCAGGCACTGTCATCTCGGCTCTGGAGATGGAAAAGCTGTGCATTATTTCCATGACCATGTGGGTTTTGAGGAGACACCTAAAGCGTAACAGAGGATTGTTAATACATAAACTGAACTGAAAACCAACCAAATATCATTACAAGAGTAACAAAAGCAAAATATGGATAAGCTTCTACTATTAACTATATGATGGTAATATATATTGACATAAAATGTTAGAAAACTCAAAAATGCAAAATATGCATAAAAATAAAATGAATATAAAAAAAAAAACAAAAAAAAAAAAACATGCTTATGAATGTACATGCATCTAAAATACAAACCTTGATGCCTATATTCATGTAATTCTCTTGTTTCATGCTTTTAAAAGGCCTTACTTTTTCTCTAAACTGTGCAGCTTGAAAACTTTGTGCTCTTGGCAAAGAGGTAGTAGCAGAAATATGGCAACACTAAAACAAGGAATTCCACACATATTAAGCACTACTTATTAAACAAAAACTTTCCCAAATACATTATACTCTAATCTGATATATAATATACATTTCATTTGGAAATCTTTGATACTGGTATGTCATTCTTCTATGAAGGACCTCAAGATGTATGTTGTACCAAGGTTACTTAATGCTTATTAAGTGTATGTGTAACTACATACATAGCATAATAATTACCTAATTTTACTATACTAAAACTTATGTTTAACAGGTTTTAATGGAGTACCTTTTAACATCTGACAAAGCTCCCTTGGCAACAAGGAAAATTACTATCCTACTCTATATTTCATGTAATAATATGCAATTAAATGCTGAAGTATCCTAGACTGACATTAATGGCACTGCCCCTATACATAAATGCTCACAGGAGTAACTACCATTTGGTAGCTAACCTGAGATGTTTGAGCCGTTAGAACTTCTCGTGACTCAGCAGTAGTGGTGACAGCAGAGGTGGTGATGACAGTGGTGGTGCTGCTTATAGGGTTGGGCGGTGAGGTAGAGGTGGGAGGGTGAGTGGGAGAGCCCAAACTGGCTAGTGTAGCACTCAGGGCATCTAGAGAGTCGAGTCCCTCCTGCAAACACCACGCAACTCATGGTTCCAAAGTCAGCATGCAATACTTGGGTGCCCACAGGAAGGCTAAAACTTTACAGGATAATTTTTACGGTCTTACAGCAAGTTTACTTCAGAAAGCATTTTATAATGATAAAACAAAAACTTTTACTGATCACTAAAGCCACAGCACAAAAAATAAAACATTTTACATTTAAAATGTATAACATTTTATTTCCAGCACTTGTTATTTTCTCAGTTTCTAACCTTCCTGCACTGGCTAATGAACAGTCAACTGTATGTTCATTTGTCAGTTGCTATCATTATTTAAGAACTATTAATAAAAATCCTTCAAACAAAAACATGTTACTGTTTGGGGAATTGTCAGTATGTCAACTGGATAAGTGGAAATTAGATTTTCAGAGAAGTATCAAAACTCTAAAAAATATATAATTTCCTCTACTCAAATATCAATCAAAACATTTCTCCTGGAACTACTGAAGATTTTAGAGAAACTATTAGTCTTTGAGCTAGAGAAAATTCACTTTCAGTTTTGTCTTCACCTGTTAGCACATATACTCAATCAAACTTTCAAATCTACCAAAATAATAAGTCAAAATGTGAGTACTTCCTCAATCACTCATGTTAATCCAGAAATTACCAACACAATTACTTTTAGAACAACTTTTATTAACATAAACAGTATACCTTTTATTACTATACCTTTTTTAGTCAATTAAAAGGTTTGGTAGGAACAAGAGAACAATTCACCTAGCTGATAACAAGGAACATCTATTAGTTGTATTCTTAGTCAGTTCAAAATGACTGAAAAGTTTAATATGATAATCCTATATATCACCACAAAGAAGTAATGTCTCAAATAAGTTCATATATCATGCAATACATCTACCTAAAGCTAACTTTAATAGTGTTTTCTTGTATAAACTCAACTGATGAAGAATTAAAGGAGATTATCAATTACTTTCATCACATGTTGATGTTCAACTTCATAATTTACATAAACTAGCTCCTACTGCAGATACTAATTAAACACAACTAATTATATCTTCCATTGGAAAAGTCTGAATTACTTTCATTTGACTATTTTATTATTATTTCCTTATTATCTTTATTCCTTTATATCTACTTTTACAAACAATTTAAAACTCTAAATTACAGGTTTTTTTTTACATAAATATCTATATTAACTATAAGTAAGACTTGATATCTACAAAGCATACTTTTGGCAACAAAATTTTAATAGATAATTTCTATATACACTGCCAAGTGATGAAAGCCAGGTGCAATAATACATTTCCTAGTATGTGATCTATCTGCTGTCTATTAGTCAAGTATATATCAATTACACAGCACAGCAAATACATGCAGTTTCTAAAAACCCTTTTCTCATTTCATGCTCTTCAAGGCAAAAAGTCAAATAAAAAAAGAAAGGAAAAACTACACTTGCAAACTTCATGCTGTGATATAAAACCAAAAACAGCTTGATAAATGATGACCAACATACCTGATTTGATGATGAAGCAACAGTGGTCAAAAGACCACCATCAACTGGGGTAGTGGATGAATATGATGAATACTGGATATGGCCGTGAGGTGAAGTTTGAAGTTGATTTAGAGCTGATGATGCATCCTGGAAGCAATTATTGAGACGGAGTTTAGAGAGAGCCCCATATTTTGTGACTTTTGAGTTTCATGTTATGAAACAGTTTGGGATAACAGTTTCAGTGTGGAACAGAATTTATTGCAATACCTAGATATCTCACAACAAAAGATGTGTGGAACATGTGACTTGCAAGGT